CTCTGGCCGCAATGGAGGTAATTTTCTACCTCACTAGGTTAATTTAAAAGCGCCTTCATACTTTAACTTCTCTAAGTATACGTTCGGCTTAATTAGTATTCGTTCATCTATCTGCAAACTCTATTTGGTATGATGACAATGCAAAAACATATTGAATCAGCTAACGCTCGGGCACGCAGGCTTGCCAGTGGGCTTGAGGCAGCCAACAAAGAAAGCAAGATCATCAGTACCCAGAATGTTGAACTGATGGTGCAGCTGAATAATGTTGAGAAAGAGAGAGACATTCTGAAAAAAGATGCTGACTCTCTTCAAGATGAGAAGAACGCTCTCCAGCTCGAGAAGAGCATCCTGCAGACCGAACGGGAAGCTTTTAGAGCTGAAAAAGAAAATCTCCAGCACTTGCTGGCTGACGAACAGACCGAACAGCTGGCTTTTGAAAAGAGAGCTCTTGATGAACACAATGCCCTGCTCGGCGTTATTGGCAGGGTTGATGGTGGGATGAGGGCTCTTCATACTCACTTCTCTTAGACCGGAGTCCTCAGGTATGCATAAGGGTACAGAGACGGCTATACCGACCGTTCTCCTCCTAAAAGTCAAACCAGCTCTTATGTAGGTCCTGATGATGTTGACAAGGAATTGAATATTAGCCCTCCTGGAGTCTACACTGCCAAGAGATTGTTGCTTCTGGGGTCGTTCCTATCCCCTCGGCTGTCTAACCTCTGGACGTTCCTCCTTTGACCACCATGATTCCCTCTGTACCTGCTGCTGAGGACAGAACCCAACAAGATGGAACGATCCAACTTGACTCCCCCTCCCCCCCCCCCCCCCCCCCGCCGTGGGGAAAATACAGTCAATGAAGTTAAAGGGAACTATGAGCGCGGTTAAGAGACCGAGGGAATAGGCAGGACTGACTAACATCCTGCAAATATCTCATTTTCTTTTACATTGTATTCATTTCATTAAAACTGTCCTTGTAAATGTAAACTAGTTATGAATTCAATGAAATGAATGTTTTTTGACCATTTTTTGTCTTATAATGCTTTTAACATCTCATTGTTGCCTCTTAATATCTTTTTTAGCAAGTGTTTGGCGTTCGGCTCATAGTGCCAGTTGCCACTTACTTTGCCAAGTGCCTGGCACTCGGCTAGAATGCCACTTACCACTTAACTTTTTTATTTCTCAGCAAGTGTTTGGAGTTCGGCTCATAGTGTCAGTTGCCACTTACTTTGCGAATTTCCTAGCGCTCGGCTAGAATGTCACTTGTCACTTGGTTTTTTTTTTATTTCTCAGCAAGTGTTTGGCGTTCGGCTCATAATGTCAGTTGCCACTTACTTTGCAAATTGCCTGGTGCTCGGCTAAAATACCACTTACCACTTGACTTTTTTTTTTATTTCTCAGCAAGTGTTTGGCGTTCGGCTCATAATACCAGTTGCCACTTATTTTGCGAAGTGCCTAGCACTCGGCTAGAATGTCACTTGCCACTTGGCTTTTTTATTTCTCAGCAAGTGTTTAGCGTTCAACTCATGGTGTCAGTTGTCACTTACTTTGCTAAGTGCTTGGTGCTCGGCTAGAATGCCACTTGCCACTTTCACTTTTCTTATTGTTTTACTTATTATCATCTTTTTGCAACTTTTTGGAAAGAAGATAACACTCTTTTATAGATCTTTAAAGTTTTATACATTCTTTAGTACTTAATTAAAAATGAACATTGCCTGAACTGAAGCTCAATATTCTATTGGTAATACCTTTTCAAGGATGTGGTATTCCATGGCTTGTTGACCAACCTTCCAGCCATGGTCTCTAGAGTATATGCCCCCTTTCCTATGGCCTCTGCAACTCTATACGGTCCTTCCCAAGGTGATTCTATTTTCTTGACAATTCCAGCCTTTCTTTTCAGAACTAAATCACCAGGTGCAAAATCCCTATGCCTCACATTTCTGTTGTGACTGTTCATAAGCATCTGCTGATATGATGTGAGCCTTACAGCCGCTGCATCCCATTTCTCTTCTAGCAGGTCAAGGTTGAAGCTCAACATGTCATCGTTCTGTTCTTGATTCCACGTTAAACTTTGAACGGTTAGAACTAGATGTTCGACCGGTATTACAGCCTCAGTACCGTACACCATAGCGAATGGGCTTTCTCCGGTCGGTCGCCTCAGCGTTATTCTATAAGCCCACAGGACGTTCAGAAGCTCGTCCAACCATTTCTCTTTTTCTTCTTCAAGCTTCTTCTTTATACAAGCGAAGATTATTCTGTTTGTGATCTCGGCTTGACTATTTGCCTGCGGGTGGCTGACTGCTGCCAATTTTTTATTGATTCCATACTCCTCCAGCAGCTCCTTCACTTGTTTACTGTCAAGATTCGTCCCATTATCCATAACAATTGATCTGGGCACGCCGAAGCGACAAATAATATTATTCCAAATGAAACACCTTACTTGGGTCTGGGTCACGCTTGAATACGGCTCTGCCTCCACCCACTTGGTAAAATAATCTGTTGCGAGCAGAACGTACTTATTTTGTAATCTGGCGGTCGGCAAAGGGCCAACCACATCCATCCCCCATTGCGCGAAAGGCCATGGTTTGGCCATTACGTGCAAGTCTTCAGGTGGTTGGTGGATCAATGGTCCGAACCTTTGGCATTTATCGCATCTTCTAGAGAACTCTTTTGCATCCCTGGATATATTCGGCCAAAAATACCCTTGCGTCATCGCTTTGTGCACTAGGGATCTCCCCCCTGAATGATTACTATACATACCTTCGTGAATAGTTCACAATATTTGTCGAGCTTCTGTGGAGGTAACACACTTCAGGTATGGTCCGGAGAAAGATCTTCTATACAACTGGTTGTGCACTATGGCATACTTTGTAGCATTCGATCTGATCTTCCTTGTTTCATCCCTATGCTCGGGTAGAACACCATCTCGTATATAAGTCATAATTGGATTTATCCAGCTAGGCTCATATGGTATGACATTCACCTACCAAGGATCCGAGCTCGATGGTTCTTCAAAGATAGACGGCTGGCATAACACACCGACTGGAATCACCCTTGCCAGTGTTTCTCCAGAACTCGACGCACTGCATGCTAACTGATCGGCGTCCTCATTACACTCCCTCGGCAGTTGGATGAACTTGATTTGATTAAACCTCTTAGCCTCAACCATAATGGCAGATCGGTACGCCTCCATTGTTTCATCCCTGGCTTTGTACTCCCCAATCACCTGTCGAACGATCAACTATGAATCGCTGAAAGCAACTAAACTTTTGACCTTCAGTTCATTAGCCAGCCTCAATCCAGCCAGCAATGCTTCATACTCTGCTTTATTATTGGTCGCTCTAAACTCAAGTCTGATCGCTTGATTCAACGTGGTGCTTTCTGACGTCTGCAACTTAATCCCAATTCCTACCCCCATCTGATTCGAAGAACCATTGACAAAAAGCTTCCATGAAGATTCTCCAGGATTTTCTTCTGGATCCGTTACATCATACTCCAATAGGAAATCAGCCATTGTTTGTCCTTTGATGGCCGTTCAGGGTTCATACGTTATGTCAAAAGAGCTCAGCTCTATTGCCCACTTCGTCATTCTCCTAGATAAATCTGGCTTATGAAGAATCACCCTTATGGGAAAAGTGGTCAAAACGACTATAAGATGGGATTCGAAGTAGTGTCTGAGCTTCCTCTTTGCATTCACCAAAGACAAGATCACGCGTTCAGCCTTTGAGTACCTTTTCTCTGGCTCGGACATTGTTTTACTGACATAAAACACCAGGAACTGCTTACCCTCTTCACATCGTATCAGAACGGCGCTTGTTGCAATGCTTGAGACTCCAAGGTACAGGAAAATCTTTTCACCTGGTTTTAGGGCAGTTAAGACTGGTGGGTTTCGCATATACTCTTTCAATCTGGTCAATGCTTACCTTTGCTCATCCCCCTAAAATTGCTTTTCGTAACTCCTTATTGTATCGAAAAAAGGTTTGCATCGATCTGACAACCTCAAAATGAATCAACTTAGTGCCGTTATGCGTCCGATGAGAGCTTACACTTCCCTGACTGTGCTTGGTTCTGTATTTTTTAGTAGAGCCTCCGCTTGGGCTGGGTTAACTTCAATCCCTCTGTTGTTAACCACGTTGCCAAGGAATTGCCCAGAACCCACACCGAATGAGCACTTGGTAGGGTTCAACTTCATTCCGTACCTCCTCAATACTTCGAACACCTCTTGCAAGTGTTGCAAATAGTGGTCCTTCTTTCTGCTCTTTACCACCATGTCATTGATATAAGCCTCTACGGTCTTACCCATTTGATTCTTAAAAATCTTGCTAACCAGCCTTTGGTATGTGGCTCCAGCATTCTTTAATCCAAACGGCATAACCATGTAACAGTAGATCCCTCGTTCAGTAAGAAAAGATGTCTTTTCCTTATCGTTCGGATCCATAGGGATTTGATTGTAGCCTGAGTAGGCATCCAAAAAGGTTAGCCATGTACCCAGTCGTAGCATCCACCATCTGATCAATCTTTGGAAGTGGAAAACTATCATTTGGGTAAGCTTTATTCAAATTGGTGAGCTCAATGCAAACTCTCCACTTCGCATTCTTCTTCTGCACAACAACTATATTTGATAACCAGGACAGATATTGAACCTCTCTAATGAACCCAACTTCTAACAATCTATCAATCTCATCGGCAATGATCTGGTTTCGCTCCGGGGTGAACCTCCTCTGCTTCTGCCGTACAGGCCTGACATTCGGATCCACGTTTAGGGAGTGACAAGAGACAGAGGAGTCGATCCCCGGCATGTTCGAATGGCTCCAAGCGAACACATCTGCATTCTGAGAAAGGAAGTCAACTATTTGGCGTTTTTCTTCCTCTGCAAGCCCCGAGCCTACTCGTGTGGTTCGGTCTACCCTCAAATGATCAATTTGCACTTCGACCAGAGGTTCCTCAGTCAACGCCGGAGGCTCCTCTTCCCCGTTCATATTAGAGGGAGGTTCATGTAATTGCTATCTCGGGCTAGCAATGCGAACGGAAGCTTTTTCCTTCCTAGCGGCTTTCAGGGTTACCGAGTAATACTCTTTGGCTGCAACCTGGTCCCCATGGATATCAATCACCTTATTCCCATCCGGGCTCAAACACCTCATTACCTGGTACAAGGTCAATGGGACCCCCTGGACTCTATGTATCCAGCAACTCCCCATCAATAGATTGTAGGACGGATGGATTTTAACTACCACAAAGCTTTCGACCAGTTCCCTCTCGACAGCTCGAACAAGCAATTCTACTATGCCGATCGGTTCTACTCACTTTCCATCGAATCCTAACAACGGATTTCTAGTAGGTTTAAGTTCCACAGGCTTGATCTTGAGCCTGTCGAATGTGACTCGGGGCATGACGTTCGAACTGCTTCCTGGGTTAATCAGCACCCTCCGCACTAGGCAATCTACCACTGTCAAACTAATGACCAAAGGATCTTCGTGAGGGATCTGAACTCGCAATAAGTCTGTTCTGTCAAACTTTATATGTATTGAGGCACTCTGTTGGTGCAGGGTGTTTACACTACCTATTCTTCTCTTTATCTGGGCTTGACGAAGACGCGTTCGAAGTAAATCTTCTGACTCTTCGAATCGTTCAGGTCGGCCGTGAATTACATTTATAATCCGAACGGGTTGGGCGTTATGGTGGCTCGACTTCTGATTTCTTTTTACCTGTTCAGCTGGTTGGTTTTGCTCCATTGGTGGCCCTTAGACATATCCAGCGAACTCCCCCCTGGATATCAGCATCTGCACTTACCTCCTCAGGTTCCTGCATTTATTAGTTAGGTGACCGAAATCACTATAAAAAGTACAGTGTTTGGACTGATCCCTCTATTCGAGAGGTTGTCTAATTGGTAAGGGAAAGTGAAACTTATCTTTATTTTCCTGGAACAACCTAGCCAAGGTGACCTTGAGTGGTGTGACCAATTATTCTTCCCTCAGCCTCTTTTCTATCTTCTAGGAAGTTTGACATTGCGCCGAAGCTTGCTTTTGCCGGATCTTGGCCTTTAACTTTTCCTCTGTTGATATAATCGATGTCTTTCAAGCATTAGCTACCTCCTCTTCCTCCAGGCGCACAAATCCGTCAGCTCTTTCGTTCAGTTCATCCATGGTCTTCGGTGTATTTACCACCAGGCTTGTGTGAAATGATGTCCCTCGGTTTATGGCTAACTTGAATTCTTGAACCGCCGTGGACGGATAACACTCTATTACCATGCTCTTGACAAGGTTGAACCTAGTAAGGAAAGCTTGGAGCTTCTCATCTTCATGCTGCTTCATTGTGAAGAGGCTCAAAACATCTTTGGCTGGGCGCTTATTCCCATAATACTGGCTTATGAACTTGTCTCACAAATCTTGAAAGCTAGCGATTAAGCCTTGGGCCAAATTCTTGAACCAATTAAGCGCTACCCCTACCAAATAGAGAAGCACTCGCACATCAAATGATCAGTCTCTGTGTTCAGTGCCATCTTAAGCTGAATGTGGTAAATGTGATCGATCGGATCAGTTGTTCTGTCAAACAAAATGAATATCGGCATAGAAAATTTCCTCAGATTCGGAGTGTTCAAGATCTTGTCAGTGAATGGAGAGGCAACCGTTCGTGCTAACGAATGGAGGGCTTCATTTTACCTTGAAAATCGTGAAGGGATCTTCTGATCTTCAAATCTCCTCTCTGAACTCCTATAATTATACGTAGCCATTGAAGGTCGGTAAAATGGATCAAGCGATCTTTCCTTCGTGAACTCCCTCTGCCATGGTGATGTAGTTCTATGATGACCAAACTCCATGACTTCCTCACGCCTCAGTCTTCCTTGAGTAGGATCAAACGTTGCGACCTCTTCCCGCATAATCCGCTCGCGGTACGGATCCAAATAGATAAATCCCTCTCGATCTTCCATTTGACGAACATTTGGCGGCAAATCACCTGGCACGATCTCCTCACGACAAAGATCCATGCGATTGTCTCCTTCCTGATTGTTTTGATGAACGACATTGGATTGCAAAGCTTTTTCCGCTGCTGGAGGTAGCGGTGGAATGATCGGAGCTTCTTGACACTCCATTCCAGCTCACAATTCTGCATTCTCTCTTCTCAAGACCTCGATCATGTTCATCAGTTCATCAAGCTTCGACTGCTGGTCATTCTCCATCAAACTTGAGCTCTCGCCTCCTCTCATCATTCCTGATTGGAGCAAAGTCATTAACTGCAAGTTCCGGATCAGATCTGAGCTTTGCGGATATGAACGTACTCGATCCAGAATCGAACCAGCTGAATTCGGATCTCCTTTGGCCAGATCTGAATCTCTCCTGCCGTGAATTCGTAAGATCTAGCTTCAGTAAGCAAATCACAACTGCGTAGATCCAACGCAAATCTCTTGCCAGTGGCCAGAATCGAGACTTCTGCAACTAAAATGCCGATCACACCGATCTGGATTCAACTTTCAGAGATCAATATTTTTTTCACGAACTAGTCTGGATTGAATCAATCTTGATCGACTCAATCTTCATTGTTCCCACACACGACGCCAATTGAAAATACAAGAAATTCCTCTCTATATTTTTACAGAATATCCATGCATTTCAATAATTTTTGTAATACCCCTAGTTTTCAAAAGGATAAAATTTGAATTTGAATTTTATTTGTGTGAAATTTTAATTTGATTTTGTGGTTAGGTGCTTATGTGTCAAATTGGTTATTTGAGTAGTGGTTTATTTTAATTAATTGTATGATTTTATTCTAATTAATTGTTTGTTTTTATTTTATTGGTTAATTTAAATAGATTGTTTTTACTTGTATTTTTATTTGAATTAATTGATAAATTGTTATTTAATTGGCTTGTATGTTTAAATGGATTAATTTGGTAATTATTAATTTTAGTATCAATAAGTTAAATGAGGTTTTGGTTATTACGTTAGTTTACTAAGGTCTCTAGGAAGACAGTGTGTTTAACCAACATGGATAAATCTTGATTGCTTTATAGGCCGACTTGAGGTAACATTAGGGCTCTGTCTCTAATGTTACAATGATTAAGGTTTTTGTATTAAGTCTATAAATACAACCATTATGTTGTAGCCTAGGGTTTACGCTCATAACTCATAGCATAAAAATGTGAAGTTAATTCTGTAAAAATAGAGGGTAGAAGGAACAAAACACCGTAAAGGTTGGCAAAGAGAAGAACAGAGGGGACCAAGGTAGGATTTTGGTGGACTATTCCAGAGCACTAGGAGGCTTTACAGTGGTTCGTGTTGCCGGAACAGTGGACACGACGCCGAGATTTCATAATTGAAATCACCAGCAAGTTCTATTCTGTCTCTCTCCCCTTGGCCTGTGTTCTGTGCACTCTTAGATGGTCTCTAAGGTGTTAATTAAATATTAATTGAGTTTTTTGCATGCCTATCATATGCCAAAATAATCATCTGTATATGTTTACAATATGTCTAAAATTTTCCTCGCATCTCTGTTCTTCGTTGTCAGTTTTAAAGCATGAAACTGTTATGGTTTTAATTGTTGTTGTGGTACTTACTGTTGTAAACCAAGTACTGGGATGACAATATATAAATATTAGACTGTTAAAGTTAGTCTTAAGGAAGAACAAAAGGGTAGGAAGAGGCCGAAGATGAACAGATGATGCAAAACGAAGAAGGAAGCGGAATGGTGGCTCTAAGGAGGAGAGAGCCGGCTCCAGAAATTTGGAGGCAGCACCCCCCTTTTTGGATATTCTGACATTTTTTTTTTACGAACTGTGGTTACTGTTTGAGCATGGGAACTGTTCTGATGGTTCTGGGATTTCACAGAGGAATTAAAAAAGTTGATTTTTGGGTGTTATTAAGACCTTAAATTGATTAAAGTTGACCTCTAAGTCAATGGGACAAACAATACGAAATTATTGAACTTTCTACGCTGTTAACGGATAGAAAAGACTAAATTGTTAAATCTTGTTTTAAAATTTTAACGGATTGTAGCATGGACTCTAAACATGATATTAGGCTATACTAAAGCCACATTAAATAAATTAATAGCTTTGCACTCTTGGAGTTAATCGTAGGAAAGTATACAGCGGCGCCGGCTGTTAACGGATGGAAGGGATTTAATTGCCTAATTTACTTTTATCAATTTAACGGATTATATATATATTCATAAATCTTATTTTTGGTTACATGCTAGGGTCATTATATATCATGTTTGATCTATGCATACCTTGGATGTTAATTGTTGGAAATATTGATTTTGTACTGCGATACATGGAATTAAGCTTGGGATTTTAATTGCAATAATATTAAGCACTACACTGCAATTATTGGAATTAGGGTTTGGACTTCAATTGCTGCATTAGTATTTAGGTTCTGTTAACCTAATTGGAGGTTGGCTTGGAATTAATAGAAGAATTAATTATATATATTTTCTGTCAATTGCTTGGATGGATGCTAGATAAATAACTTGATGAACTATTAAACCTTGTCTTGTTAGTTACGTTGATGGATTCTGATTTATAGATGATAAACTGTTTAGATTTTGTTTATTATCTATTTGGATTATGTGGATGTGTTTGATGTACTGTATAAAATGTTGCATCATTTGGGGATCATTTGCATGTATGTACCAGTATGGGACGGTGACATAAGGAGGGACGGATTAGATCAAAACGCTAATTCCAACCCATTCATACATATGGAACAGATTAACTAAAATAGTTAAATCCTACATGGATGCATGTCCTGTCAACTAAAACAGTTGAACGACATAACGGATGGTTGTTTATATTTTCTGTTAGTAGAATGGATAGGGATTTAATTAAAACATTTAAATGCTAATTTTATGTCGTGTCATGGCAACGAACTGTTGAGCAGCACTACATTGGTTTGGATCGAATTTATATATATAAACTACGGTACTGCGGTCTGAGCTTGAGTCTCATAGTCGACGGTTAGGGAGCGTATATGCAGTAGGATGCGTAGCTAGCTATGCATGTTGAGGTATACCCTGTTAGGCTTAGGTAGTCATGCTCACTCTGGTGCGTTTTATTCAGGTTGAGACCCTTAGCATAGCCTAGTGAGAGTCCTGTAGTGTGGTTATATGTATATATCTATTTACGGACTATATAGATATGGTTGAGACATCTAGGATGTATTTGCGTATCGGGTCTCTGTTTGGATTGTAGTTAGGATAGAACTTGTTCGTTGGCCTGACCCACTGTTATTTTTCAGGTAATGGACAATATCAGGTCTTCGAGCTTGTTCGTGTTGAGCAGAGACGACTACTCACTCTACCGATGACGTAAGTGGTTTCTGTATGGTTTAACATTGGATTCCTTTCCGATGGTTCATTTCTCAGTGTTGGTTTTATTAGGGGTCCACCAGATGGATTCCTAAGTTATATTAGAATTAGAGAAATTGGATGTATCAGATTAATACTTTCTTTATAAACATTTTATTCTGAGGTTTTCAGTTTTGGGTTTACTATTCTAGTTTCTTTTTAGCAATTTATTTATTCCTATTTTTTTAATTATATTCTGTATTCGTTTATTGCTAATTAGTTTGATATCCTAGGGTAATCGGGCGTGGGCCTGGCCAGCCCGCATCCGAAAATCCGGGGGTATCACAGTTGGTATCAGAGCCAGGTTCTAGTGTCCTTAGGAGTGTTTTCGTTATAAAACTTCCGTGTAGCGTCTCTTAAAAACTTAGAGTCATATTAGGATTCGTTGTAC